CAAGAGACTGATTACATTGGGAACCACTGACAAAGATAGTAGAGTCAGAAAAAAACAAATTTAAAGGGAAAGATTTATAAGCTTTGTTTCAGACATGATAAGTTTTAGGTATATTTGAGATATCCAAGGGCAGGCAGTTGGAAACATGGAGCAGCTTGGTGATACAGTGGATACAGTGCTGGGCCTAGAATCAGAAACACCTGAGTTCAAACCCGACCTCAAATACTAGTAGCTGTGTGATGCTGGAAAAGTCACTTAACTCCTATTAGCCTCAGTTTCCTCTCCTGTGAAATAGGGATAATAATATTTATAATAGTAATTATTATTATATAAAATAATTTTATATTATTTGTGAAGACTGCCTCTTCCCAACTAAATAAATAATAATTATAAAGTGCTTGTGTCTGGCACATAGGAAATGCTGGATAAATGTTAGTTATTATTATTATCCTCATCATCATTATCATATATTTAGAACTGGAAAGGACCTTAGAGATGATCTAGAGCAACTCCATCATTTTAGACGTAAAAAAACTAAAATCCAGAAGGTCTAAGTGATTTTTCCAAGGTCACATATATTGAGTGGCATAGCCAAGATTTGAACCTAGTTCTTCAGATTCTAGATTTTGTATTCTTCTTACAATATTGCATTACTACCACAATAGATCTGGACCTTGAAAGAACTCAGTGGTAGAAATACCAATTTGGAAGTCATGTACCTAGGAGGGACTACTCAAGTAATGAGAATGAATGAGAAAGTGAAGGGAAAGAATATAAAGAGAAAATAAAAGAAGCCTTGGGACAGAGCCTTGGAGGATGCTCATCTAAAGATGTCAGAAAGAACATTAACAGGCAGAAAAAGAGGCAAAGAAGGGGAAGAGTTCAGAGAACCAGAAAAATAAATTAATTCTGAACCTAAGAAAAGAAATAGCATTCCTAAAGGAAGAATAATCCACCATTGTCAAAAGTATGAGTAGCCAAGGGCTTTGAGGACGGAAGGGGACGGGAGGAGGGACTGAGATGGGGCGAACCATTGGTTTAATTATTTAGTCACTGGCAAACTTTAGAGGAACAATACTCAGTGTAATGATGGAACTAGAAACCGTGATTGCATTAGATTGAGGATAGCAATGAGGAAATTGAGGCAGTGGGTGCAAATGATTTTTTTTAAAAAAGACATTTGATAATAAAAGATTAAGTGAAGTGAGAGATGAGATGATGGTTGAAAGTATCAAATGGATCAGAGGGACTGTGGAAAGGAAAAGTAACCTGTAAAGAAAGGAGGAATTGAAGATGCACAAGAGAGGCAAATTGATTAACAGAACAGAATCTTAGAGGTGGAAGGTGGAAATGGGATCAAGGAGAATGGGAAAGTGATTAATCTTCAGAAGAAGTTTGGATACCTGTCTCTTCTGTAACTAGAAGGAAAGATAAAAAGACTGGGTGCTGATACTAAGAAGTTTTAAGTGAAGGAATTTAAGGTAATTTCTGCTAGGCTTCAATTTTCTCAGTGAAACTGAAGTCTAAACCATCTACTATTAAGTGTAGTATGTTATACTTGGGGATTCATGGACAGAGGGAAAAATTTGGAAAAGTTATTCAGAATAAAGAAATAAGGAGTTGATAAGAGTAGAGCAGGACTGTCAAGAAGCAGTTGAGGGGCCAGCTAAGGTTATGCACCATAAATCTGCATTGGACAAAATAACTTCAATTTCATTATTTTCTCTAGCATGCTTAACAACCCAGTAATTACTGGTGTTCAGTCATTTCATCTTCATGACCCTGTCTTGTGTTTTCTTGGCAAAGATACTAAAGTGGTTTGCATTTCCTTCTCCAGCTCATTTTACAGATGAGGAAACTGAGGCAAACAGGGTTAAGTGACTTGCCCAGGGTCACACAGTTAGTAAGTGTCTGAGTTCATATTTGAATTCAGATCTTCCTGACTCCAGGCCTAGCACTCTATCCACTGTATCACCTAGTTTCCCTGCAACCCAGTAGGAGGAATAGAGAAATCAATTGCTTGGAATTCCCCTGGGAACAAATATCCATAATGCTAAAGCTATGACTTCCAGCCATCTCCACAGCATATCATCTATATTCCACCAAACTTTGAACTTTGTACATCAGCTACTCCTAGGACTCCAGACTCTGATGAACGAGCTTTCTTTCTTGACAAGATCCAGGCCTTCACAAGTTTTCCTGGCCATCCCCACAACATGCTGCCAAATCTGTTTACCCCTCCTCTTTTTCAGCCCACCTTTGTGTATTGTCTTACCCCCATTTGAACGCAAGCTTTTTGAGGACAGGTCTGGACTTGTTTGCCTATATTTATATTGCCAGTGCTTAGCACAGTGCCTGGCACATCCTTTCTATCTATAACATACAGCTGAATGGACAGCTTATTGAGTTAGTCCATCAACATAACTTGGACAAGAACAGCAGATGGACAATACTGAGCCCAGAACATAGTAGAAGGGAAAGAATGAAATGGATTGCTGTGGGAAACTGTCCAGTGCTTTCAATGATCACAAGGGGCTTGTTACATAAATATATACATACATGTACCAATAATCTTCTGGTGATGTTCTAAGGCTATAAAGCATAGGCTACCATGACATAAGAGGAACTAAAATTACAAATAACTCAAACGAAAATGTAAAGATGTATGGTGGAGATAACCAGGTTGCATCATGCAACAATGATTTGGACTAGAGAAGTGGATTAAAAGACTTTGTTAAGGGTATGTGTCACCAGTAAAAGAAATAGGGTAACTATGTAATGTCAATGAGAAACAGTAGATGGACCAGCCAAGTGGTATGTTGGAAGCCCTGAAATACAAAAGGAATACTAAAGAGAAAGGCTTCCAGTGCTAGGTAGTTTCTCTATAGAAAGTGTGTGGAGGGAATCCTCATAAAGTTTATCCTTATAGAGTCTAGTTAGGCACAATGACATGGATGATCCCTTTCTAATACTAGGTAGGTATTTCGTTCTATTAGCATGCCAGGGATATCATTGCTCTCCTATCATTTGTTAGGTTAGTTGGTTTTGGTCTTATATTCAAAAGCAAAAAAAAAAATAACCTTGAGAATCTTAGAAATAAAATAAGAAAAAATAACACCCCAAGAAGAAGAAATTCTATTTTTTAGCCATATTAGTTCTGTATCTATTTAAATAAAGCTATGCTTCATCAAGAGTAGGTCTTCTCTGAAGGAAACAATTTGGTCTCATTACTTCATGGAATCTCACAGGAATTCTGTCAGTGACACACTGGTGAGACTAAAATGCCTGGATTTGGTAGCACAACTTTAAAAGATACAGACACAAACCATGAAGTATAATGGTGAATTAGAAGTCTTTACACTTGCTTCTACTGCCACCTACAGAGCATATCCAATTCAGACTCACAGGACATCAGCTCCATTTACACAGCCTTCTATAAACACAAAACTAACTAAATGTAGGATTTAAATCTGGAAGGGACATTAGAGATCATCTTGTTAAACCCCCTCATCTTAAAAGGACGAAAACTTTAGCTCAGAGAGGGATAACAATTTGTTCAAGGTCACAGAGGTAGTAAGTAGCAGAATTAGTGTATGGGCCCAAATTTTCTGACACCAGAGCTGATACCTCAGTATACCACATTACATCTGTGCTAGACCTCTAAGCCTGCTGGGATATTTCACCTATCTTGACTAAACAGGATGCAAAGGAGGGACAAGAATCCTTGCAGTCCTTAACCTCAAGTTTGCAGTCCAGTAGGAAAGGTGAGAACACGGATACATACAAATATATTGTAATATAAAATAAAAGATAAATACCTAAGGAATAAAAATCAGTGAACCAAAAGTTCTGAAACAAGGATGACTCATTAGTGATTAGGGCAGCTCAGGAAAGACCACTGTAGATGGGTTACATTGGATCTGTGTCTTAGAGGATTTCTACAAAGATGGAAGGGAAGGAATTTCAAGTACAAGGAATGGCTTTGAACAAAAACACACACACAAAATACAGGAAAGACAGAGTGATGCTCATTTGTAAAAGGCTATGATTGCCAGGCTAAGGAGTCTGACTTTTATTCAGTAGGAACCACTGAAGGGTTTTGAGCAGTAGAGTTGGCATAGTCTGGTCTGTGCATCAGTAGGATTAATCTGGAAGGGGTGTAAAGGACAGATTGGAGGTGGGGAGAGACTCTGGGCAGAGAAACCAATTCAAAAAGATTAGTCAAAGTAAGAAGCAGTGAGGATCTGTACCGGAATGATGATAGTGGGAATGGAAAGGAACAAAATTCTAGAGATCTTAGGGCGATAAAATTGGCAGAACTTAGCAAGTGATTGGATAAAAGAGGTTAAAAAAAATAGGGAAAATTCATCCAGAAGTTTTGACTGTGTGTAAGTGGTTAAAAAATGTTGATTAGCAATAGTTTCACAGATAATGTCAATTATTTTAAGAAATAAAATCAGAGATTATACAGAAAGAAGCACAGTATAGTAAATAGTGAATCAGGAATACCTGGGCTTGCATCCTTCCTCAGACACTTACTAATGATATAAACCTAGGAAAATCATGTAACCTCTCCGTGTCCATTTTCCCATCTGTAAAATGGAGATAATAATAGCATCTACCTCACAAGGTTATTATGAAAATCAAATGAGATAATATAAGTAAAGTGTTTTGTTAACTTTAAAGGGCTATATAAATGTGAGCTATTATTATGAGAATTAAGACAGATTCCCTGTACCACTAAGGATTATTTATGCACAGATATTTTACACACTAAAGGAGTTATGTCCTAGAAATCTAATTACCAAGGGCAAAAATATATGTAGAAATGAAATACTGTGTTTCCAATCCTATGCTAACTTTTATTCTCAAACCTGTAATTTGACTCTTATTCTTTCTAACCTGTATCCTCCCCCATATAGATAAGTGCATTTGATAATTAATAATTGATAAGACATTCCCATATGCTCTAGAATGTTAAGAAAAAGAAACGAACTTACCTTGGTATCAAGGTGACTGATTATGTCAAAAATATCTTCATCATCTTTAATCTCTTCAGCTGGTCTCTAGAGGAAAAAAATTGTCATCAGGTAAATACATCTATATTTAAAATGTCAATATCAAAAAAAAATTCAATAGAATTTGTGATATAATATGACTTAGGGTTTTTTGTTTTAATTGAGGTTGTTACCTCAACTACACACTCAGATTACAGGATGTAGAAGTAGAAGAGACCCTGAAGATCATCCAATCCCACCCTCTTTCATTTTATAAAAACTGAAAACCAGGGAGATCAAATTACTTGCCCAAAGTCACATAGATAGTGACAGTATCAGGATTTGAACTCAGGTCCTTGGACTTAGAGTCCAACAGTCTATTACGCATCTGGTTCTACCAATGAATTACTGTCTGACAAGAATGTTTGAAGAAAACTTAAGAGGGAGTGTATATATACATATAATAAGGCCTTAGTGAGGGTAGGATTTAAGAAGTGAACAAATGACTAAGAAGATGATGTCTTAAGAAAGAGGACTTAGCTTTCCTTGAATCATGGTCCAAAATACAGAAATGACAAGTTAGAGCTTATCTAAGGAGGACTAAGAATTTGCATGAAGATTGGCTGATGTGACTTAGAAGGCGGCAAACTGAAATCAGATGGGCAGAGAGAACAGCAAGGAAGAAGAAGACCAGATACCACACAGAGCAGCAGAATAGCAATGGAGAGTCTCAGTAATTCAAAGGATGTAATGATATGGAAAAAGAGTAAGAACTTTTATCAGTGCAATGACCATCCATGATTCCAGATGATTGATATTGAAGCATGCTCTCTACCTTCTGACAGAAAGGTGATGGATTCAGGGTGCAGAATAAGACTTTTTTTAACATGGCTAATGAGGGGGATTTATTTTGCCTCACTATGCATATTACATGGAATTTATTTTTTCTTTCTTTACCCAATGGGATGGGGGATGGGAGGGAGAGAAAATAGATTTATGTTAATTTTTAAATAAAATTTAATTTAAAAAAAAAGAAACAGTATGGTGAAGGAAAAGAGAACCAACCTGGGAATCAAATTATCTGAGTTCAAGTCCAAAAGTTGCCCAAGGTCACATGACTATCAAGTGGGCAAACCACTCCCCTCCCCTAGCCTCAGATCCCTTATTTATAAAATGAGCAAGTGGGACCAGATGGTTTCTAAGATACCTCACATCTCTAAAGGTTTATGAGCTTATTATAATTCTTCAGCAAGTTATAATTTAGCTATTTCACTTGGTGTCTGCTTAAGAACTCAACCAAGTAACTTTGTTCTCTTCCTCCTTTAGACAACATTTGCTGAGTCTTCCATCTTCTTGAAATACTTGGCTGATTGTATTACTGTCACGCCAGTCTATCAGTTCTCTTCTCATTGATCTTTTTCCCATCCTTCATAGCCTTGTCAGGTGTTTCTGATGGTGAGAGAATGATGTTGATAGACTTTTCTGGTGCAACACAATGCAACTCCCTAACTGGGGAAGTGGAACTCACCTCCTCTATTGAGATAAGCCTGGTTATCTCTTAGAGCTACTGATACCTACTGTATGACCCAAGTGTTTTATAGGAGGTAACTAATTTTGCATTTAAAAATAAAAGGAAAAACAACCATAACCTACAAATTCTGGATGTCTGGTAATTCAAACAGGACCAAACAGAAATATAAGTAACACATTGGTTGGTTGTTATCCTTCATTCTCAAAGAGGACCAAAATGACATCACTATGTTAGAGTCAAGTTATAGTGCGTCCAATTGTGGCTGATCAGACCAATATGAGCTTGGAATGCTCTACCACAGGTCAGGCACAAATAGTCCACGTGAACATTTGGGGTGGATTCTCTCAATTTGCACATTTCACATTTCTTTTGAGCTGCCTCAGTTCTGCTTTGCTCACAGAACACAACACCTTCTTCGGTGAGAGCATGCTATGCTAGGCAGTCCTGTGCCAGCAGAGACAGGGACAGCTCCCATGTCATGCAATCAATTCCAAAGTTCTTCAGAGAGACTTTGACAGTGTCCTTGTATTGTTTCATCTGACTTCCTCCATGTGAGCACTTGCCTTGTGAGTTCTCTGTAAAATAATCTTTTAGGCAAGCATACATTTGGCATTTGAATAACGTGACCAGCCCATTGGAATCACACTCTCAATAGTAGAGTTTGAATGCTTGGCAGTTTAATTTGAGAAAAGCCCTCAATGTCTGGTATCTTATCCTGCCAGGTGATCTTCAGAATCTTCCTAAGACAATTCAAATGGAAGGGATTCAGTTTCCTAGCATGGTGCTGGTATACTGTCCAGGTTTCTCAGGCATACATCAATGAGGTCAGCATAATGGCTCTGTAGACCTTCAGTTTGGTAGGTAGTCTAATACATACCTTCTGTGAGAAGGGGGAATCTCCGTTATTTAACGCCTATGTGACAGTGGGAATGTTATTTAATGTTCCCCACCTAGGGTTCAGTTTCCTCAGCAGAAAGAAGGAGCTGACCTCAAGCTCTAGGAAACCTAGTTCTCACTCCTTTGATTAAGGGAGGTAGAGTATTAAGTGGAACAAGTCTTGGACCTGAAGTCAGGAGACACTTGGTTCTAAATTCTATTTCCAGCACTCATTATCTGGGTGACCATGAGCAAGTTACTTAACCTTTATGACACTCACTGCCCAGAAGCCAACCTGGTGATGACGAGACTCCCTTAACTCAACTAGACTTGTTTTCAGACGTAACATACCAGCACTGAACCAACACTTAAGGATTTGCCATCTTAGTAGTATCTACCAGCACTTATACTCTTCTTTCATAGCCTTCAACCCAGGCTTCTATCTGCCTGTACCACAGCTTCTTAATCTGTAAAATGAGGGGGCTGGACTAGATGGCCCCTGTGGTCCTTTTCAGCTCTACATTTATGATCCTATGTCACCGGAAGGCATAGAAGTCCAATGTTAGTGGAAGTTTATTGATATTAGGGGAAGGTAAACTAGTATCACAAAAGGTCATAGCCTTCAGGACTATCTACCCTGATTTCCCTCAATTTGCTGTTTTGAGGAAAATGAGGGTTCAGGATGTTAAGTGACTTGCCTAGTGTCACACAGCTAATGAAAGGCAGAGCCACGATTTGAATCTAGTTTTCTGACTCTAAGTCCCATGCTCTTTCTTCCACACAATAGTATTATTAAATAAAAACTAAATGTCATTGCTTGAAGAGAATAAAAGCAGAAATAGCAACTGATGACATAATCTGCCTATATAGGTCTGATACTCTATATATCAAACAGTAATGATTATAGGTTGAGGGGAGAGGGAGGAGAGTAAGGAACCCCATATCAAGGCCAAAGACAGATGAAAGGCTAAAATAAACTGTTCTTCAGAAAGTTCTTTTCTAAAAGTGTAAAAGAATACAGCAGCTCAGAAAGAGATGAAATTAAAGGCCAAGTATAATCAAAATCAAAGGAGATGACTGTGGAAAAAAAGTATTCCCATCATACAGTAGCAAAAAGACTCATTCCGTCCTGATTTTATAGCCTACAGTTTCAATCCCTAACAACTTTTCCATTTACTTTCATTACATTTTCTAGGAAAACAAGATTTGTACTCCATCCACCAAACAAAAAGGGACAAGAGGCCTTTTAGTGTCTTTGAAGTCTTAGCACTGTTTGTTAGATGAACCACCAAGATCACTCAGTTGATGTAGGATGTAATTTTTCTGAGAACAATTTGCACTCTCTCCATCACGGTGCCTTCTTCCTCAACTTATTATGCGCCTAAAAGTTATGGGACTCTTAGAGGTCTCACATAATCAGGTGTTCATGTTAATTTATTTAGGAGTTTTGAGTGGGGAGGGGTTTACAGAATAAATTTATTTTCAGGGAATGGCTTTTTAGGTTTTTTAATTTTTTATAGCATTTTTTTATGTCACCTTCATTTCTAAACATGTCCCTCCCTCCTTCCTTACCTAAAGAGCTAAGTTATCCCTTCTAATAATAAAAAGTAGTAATTAAAAAAATATTAAATACAAATATCACAATATTAGTAATCACAATATTTGCATTACTCTGCACCCTAAATCCCCCACCTATGCAAAGAAAGAAAAGAGGTGTGTTTTCTCATCTCTTCTTTGGGGCCAGGTTTGGTGATTATAATTACACAACATTCAGTTTAAGAGGTTTTTGCTCCTTCCATTGATATTAGTACAGTAATGGACATTGTTTCCTGGTTGTGCTTAATTCATTTACTTTGTATCAATGCGCATCTTCCCATGCTTCTCTGTACTTTTTACACAGTCATCCTTTCTTATGGTAATAATATTCCACCCCATTCCTGTACCACTATTCATCATTTAGCCCAAACAAAGGGCATCATTTTGTTCCTAGTTCTTGGTTACCACAAAAAATTACTGCCATGTGTATTTTGTTATATATGGGGCCTTTCTCTTTGACTTCCTTATGCCTAGCGGTGGAATTTAACTGGCATTAAAAAAGAGACATTACCATCTGCTTACTTCACCCTAAGGACCATAGGACCTTTCCATTTGGCTTGTAGATGAAACCTTCTATGAATATATACATACATATATATATATTGTCTCCCCCATTACAATGTGAGCTCCCTGATAGTGGAGACTGTCTACCTTTCTGTTTGTATCCCCACTACTTAACACAGTGTTTTACACAGAGTAAGAGCTTAATAAATGCTTTATTTAGTCATTCATTCATTCTAGGTCAAGAGTATGAATGGGATTGGCTTTTAATACTAGGAACTCTCAAGCATTAGGGCAAATCTTCGAAAAATTGTGAGGAAAGCAAAGGGTATTATAGAATTCAACTATTGGTAGTAAGAGGTCTATTGAGAGAAAGCTAAGTGACTAAAGCTTGAGGAAGATGGGAAAGACTGAAATATTTATATATACACACACATATATGTGTATATATATATATATCATTACTGACATAATAAATGATATATATGTGAAAGATTTCAATCTTTCCCTTCTTCCATACATACACATATATGTGTGGAAGATAAATATTATATTCATAATATTA